TCTTTCTAGAACTGCTCTGTTCTAGTTGTTATTTTGTTTCTGTATTTTTTCTAAAAAATCGTTGCTATTGTGGTGGGAATGGAATGCTTCTCTGAGAAAAGAGGCCATAGCAAAACCATTTTCTTCAGTTATTCTTTCCTCTATTGTTCCAGTTGCTGCATCTCTATGACAAGATCTGTATTTCACAGAAATTATTACTTAAGTGGTCATTTTTAAAAAATGTTAAGTCAGAGTCTTTAATCTTATACATAGTTTCAAGCAAGAGAAGTTCTAGAAGTAATCCAATAATAATAACTGTAAATTAAAAAAAGGTCTGTATATTTGAGTTATGTTTGGCTTATGAAAGCTTGGTGAAGATGCAGATGAAATTTTAGTTCCTAACTAACCATTTTATACATTGGTTTTAAAAACATGTCAAGTTAGTGTAAGTATATGATTTCTTGCATAATAATGTTCTGTTGGATAGTCTAGAAGTAGCTCACAAGCTGAGGATATAGGAAAATTATTGACTGCTAGCAATAGTAAATTTAGCTTTGCTACGAAGAGCTCATGCCTAAAACATGAAAGTATCTCACATCCAAGAAATGGCTCTTGTTCTAAGCCATTGAGAAATTTTTGTTTCTATAAATTAACTAGTTGAGCCACTCAGCAAGTTTTTTCTTCTCATACTTCAAAAAAATTAGGAATAAATGGAGATGAAACAGTTATTGTTATTTTCAGTTACCAACCTAGCCATGTTCAGATATTGGTATGCATCAGACTTTTCATACTTTATCATTAAAGGATAAGTGTACCATGTGCAGTGCCACTGATCAGTGTCACCTGCCTCTCCCTCAGTCATTTATGTTCTTCCTTACCACTTTCTGAAAGCACTTTTTCTGTCACCGTATTACTGTCAAGCGCTTTAGGATGAATCTACTTTGGGAACTGCAAAAATGGTTTGGGTATGAAGTAGAAAATGGAATTATGATGCAACACCACTTAATCAAGTTCTGAAATAATTATCACAGGACTGATTTCAGTGTAGTAAGCTATCTGCAGAAATGATAATAGGTGTTGCTCAAGCCTGGCACACCTAACTTCTTGTTTCCCAAGCCATATAAATAAATAGTCTTCTTTGCGTATATAAGTGTATCCACACCTCTCCTGTCACATTATTTCTGAGCAAAGAAGGGTCCTTCACCTAGATTACCAAATAAATGGAAGCAGACACCCTCCTATTTTGTAACACTAGGAATCATTTTGCTATGCTTGCAAGTGGAGAGTATAATTACCATTATCCCCTGGTACTATAAGTGACATTGCTGTTACTGCTTCCCAAGCTTCATTTTTAGGAACTTAGTTTTATCCAATACCCGAAAAAAGCAGCCACTTTAAACTTTAGCTCACTTAATGGTACATTTTCTTTCACATTAAATTCAACCTTTTATTACTTTTCTAGAAATACTTTTGTTAGGAAAAATACTCTAAGAAATAGCTGAATCTGTACTTATAAATTTACCTCTAGTCTTTCCAATACACCAAATGTGCTCTACAGATAGTCTATAAGTTTTAGCCTTGCTAATGAAAGTTACATTAGGTCCTCATATAGTATATACTGTGCTTTTAATTTTCATTCTTCATTAGCACTTCAGTTTTGTATGATCCACTGGATTTCTGTGTGTCAAGCAAACAATTTCTGAAAGATTTAATTTTTTCTCATTCTAAGCTCCAATATAATATCAATAGGTCATAGGTCAGTCCAACTGAAGACTAATGATGTCATCCAGAACTTTGGAATGCAGCAGATAATTTGCTTTATTGATGAACTTGAAAAAAGTTTATTGTTTAGAATTATCATCAGTTCAGTGTGAGATTCTACAGCACAAATCCAGGAAAGAGCAAATATCCTTAGGCTGCTGCAAGATCTGTTCCTAATATTAATTGTAGGGTAAGCTTAAGGAAAGTGTTGAAAACAGGATATGATGAAACATGAAACACTCCCTTGGCTCCCTAACAAATCCCTCCCTCCTCTTTCTATATTCTCTCTCAAAATAAATAGCTGTGGCTAGCTGGAATCAGAGTGCCACTAATGCTACACTTTCCATTTTAGTTTCTGGGTTTCTGTGGTTGTTAAATACTGGAGACTGAGACTTAAGTATATGCAATTTTCAGCCATTTACCCGTATTTTTTGTCTTTTTTCCTGATTTTGGAGATTATCTCAGTTGTTATTCATGTTTGCTTAGGCAGAAATTCAGGGCTGTACTGGACCACTACTTCTTTAGGATGGTGAGGATTAAACCTGCTCCCTTGTTGCACTAATAAGCTCATGGTTGCATTGTTCCAAACTTTTCATAATAGTGAAAAATATGTATTACCCAAAAGTTTAAAAAGCCATTTCACAAAATTTCTGATATACAAAAGGAAGGTCAAAATGGGTCTGACTAAAGTAAGAACATACCTAGAAGTTTGTGTCTTGAAGGCATTCAAACATGTTTCCTGTTCTAGTGGTAAGTGGAAAATACTGCTCAAATTTAATATTATTGGCGTTTTTTGAAATAGATTAGCAATTCTAATAAGTTGTTATTTAATTGTGTGAAATGTCTCTCTCAACTACTTACAAGAAGTCCAGTTTGTCATTCCCCTAAGTGGCACTGCAGGTCAATAGCTGCTGCTATTGATCCTAACATCCTAAGTAGCTACCATCCTAAGCCAAACCTGGAACCATTACATTTTGGTCCAATCTCAGTGTTGGTGGGAGGGAGTTCTACAGCAGGAAAGCTTTTCTTTAGCTAGAAAAGCAAAAGCACTGAGATTAGATCCAGGATTGCAAATTCAACCATACAAAGCTGAGGTTTGAAAAATAACAGTCCCTGTTCTCAGTATTTACAATAATGATTATATTTTCAATTTGTTTCCATTATGTATTTTTTATTTTGGGCAAAAGCTTATCAGTTGCATGCCTCCAAATGAATTTTCCCAGAATTAAACATTAGATTTGTTTAATTTTTTTCTCGTCTCCACATCATTTGCATGCAGCAGCCACGGTGTACTGAGGAACATGTGTATCCAGCTAGTTACTCTTTCCACAGCAAGGGAATTAGAATTGAGGTTACCATTAACCAAGAGGTCAGAAAATTTTGTGATGTGTCTTCACTACATCATACTAAATTAAGGGACATCCCACTTCCCCAGGACTCCAGGCCATCACCACACAGGTCAGTGTCAGCCCTTGAACTTTGTATGGAACCCTTCCAGCAAAGTGGCCCTCTACAATTAGACAACACTTAAACTCTTTCGAAGTAATAGATTATGAATGTGTAAAACATTAGGTACCTTGCAGCTAACCACATAGACATTACAATTTGAGGTCTATTGTATGTATGAATTATAAAGACAGCAAACTTTTCTACTCTAAAGTTATTAACATCATACGTTACAAACAAGATTTATGATGAAAGTTAATTTTTATGCTCTGAAGTTATAAGCTTCCTATAGTTACCCATTAAATGTTTAATATTGATACAGAAAAAAAGAGCAAATTTAATTCAGAGGGGACCAGCTACTTTAGGGTCACTCAGACCTGAAGCTTTGAAAGTGTTAAAGTGGAAGTTGCATACTGTTTACAATTCTTACTTCTGGGACTCAGTTCTGTGACTTGAGTTCTCTGGCTCCTTTTCTCCCCTTTTGCTCTTTTCAGTTCAACCCTTATATGCTTCTGCCTTCTTAGCAAGGCAGAGTTTGAGCAATGTAAGAGCTCTGCAATCTTGGCACGGTGGTTTCAGTAGCTGCATGGTATGGTATGTCCTTTATAATTTCACACAGTTCAAATCAGATGGAAAGATAATCAGCTGGGGAGTTTGAGAATGATCTGGGCTTGATACATAATATTATATCACATTTTTTCCACTGATCTAGCCAAACAGATTTCAAGAGCAAGATTCAAGGGAAAATAAGTAAACTGTAACTTCTTCTTTTAATACTTTAAATGCCTTATCACATTTTCTTGTATGTTTTAATTCATAATTTGCATGAACTTGTCATACACATTCTTATTCCTAACGCTTTTTTTGAAGAGTGGTTTATTTTTGCTATTTTTTACATACCAACTCTGTGGTACCTGGTCCCTGTAAAATCATTCAGTGAGCATTTTGGTAGGAGAAATAGGCCAAATTTTAATACTCTCAACCTTGCCCATTCCAGTTCATCCACTCCCAGCTGTATATCTTCTAATGCCTACCTTAGTCATGCCAAGATCACATTTTTCTCCACTGAGTGTTAGGTCCTGCTGGCAGACACTGCCTTCTGAGTTAAAAGTAGGGCTCATTCTCAGTTGTAAATCTCTGTGTTGTTGTAAGCCAGTGTAGATTTGCACAGACCTGTCAGTGAGATCAGCTTTTACAGAGCAGTTGCTGCATTCCTTTTGCTGAAAGTAAATGTTTGGAACTTAGATGCCCTGATGTAATTTTACAACTAGAGATTCTAGAGTACAAACACATGCCAGAAAAGCCCCAGCTTTACTGGGTGATCAGTTTTAGGTGTTGGATAGGTCTCATCACAGTTCCTCTGTTTTTCAGCAATATGTAAAACAGGTGAATCGTCTTGTTTTAAAATTTAGAGTGAAGTTAATTCAAGAGTTTTTGGGGGCTTAATGCTGTCTGCTGTAGTATATGTCCTATCATTTGTCTTGCAAGAGCCTGAACTGAACACTTTAGCAGAAATATATATTAATATTTTTCTTGTCACAAAGGGTTGGCAGAGCACAGAAACAGGCAGAAAACAGTCAGAGAAATGGAGCAGTCTATTCAGATATTCCTGCATCTAATTTGTAACCTTGACATAATAATTCATAATTTGTCGTCTACTTAAAATACTGATACTAACAGAGTTAGTATTATTTAGACACTACCAAGCAGAAACAGTCACAGTAGTTCTGTGTTACAAATTCCTATTTCAACTTCCTTCTGATTGAGTTTTTGAAATTTGCTATAGTAAATGGTAATTTTTTTCTTCTTTTCAGGACTTCGCCTAATTAGCTCATGTGTGTTTTCCAATGTGCTGGTTGCAGAATGAATATTTTAACCTGCTGACCCACTTAGAAGAGTTCTGTGTACATATATATAATAATTGGTCTTTTGTTTTACTTGGGTTGATGTGAATCAACTCATTTGGTGATGGAACTGAAAAGAGCAACCACCTACAAATCAACTTAAATTATATCTTTTGACTGCACTCAGAATTACTCACTTTTCAATGATACAGAAGTTCAATGGCCACCAGTGTGGTGTTGTGGGATCTCTTGATCTTTAAGATATGAAACCATTAAATGTGACAGATGTGAGAGGATCCTTATTCATCTGCATTGCTGTGGAGAGATTTCAGTAGACCATTGCAAAATGGTGTACTGAAATCTTAAATATTGTTTAGCTAGGTAGTTGCTCTGTGTTTGACCAAATAATATGTGAATTTCATGATTATTCCAAGATCTTATCTTTTTCCTGAACTAGGGCTCTCCTGAAGACAGAAAACATTTCCTAGAGATAATTCAGTTACATTTCTAAAGCATTGTGAATTGATTGGACCAGTGCTACAGTTTGTAGTGCCACTACCATTAGAAGACTGCATTTCTGCTATGATTATAATACCATACCTAGTAATGCCATGAAAGCCATGCTTTACCTTTGAGAATGCCTTTGGTACACGGTGATACAGGAATAGCTTTCTCTTATGTACTGTTTTGCCAATTATGTGACACTGCTGTTCTTCCTTGTTTTTTAATAGCATGTATTTGGTGAAAGGGAATGCTTGATTAAGCTCCTTTTTCAAGTAAAAAGGTGGGCTTGTTATTTCATGTAGTCAAGATGCTGAGTGTGCATATCAAGATTTTTTGAGGTATCAGTAGTGAGGTATTGGGTATTTACAAACAGTGTATATAAACAGATATATTTACTTAGGTGACCATTCAATTTGAAGGGGGAAGCAACACACGTTCATTGACTTTTTGCCAACGTTAAAACATCACAGAGGATTTAGGTGACCCGTATTAATCCCTTATCACAAATGAAATGAGGACTGCTATGGTGGAAGCAGAAGCATTAGTTTCAAATTGTTTCCCAAAAATACGTTGCCAGTGATTTTATCAACATGACTTTTTCGAGGTTGTAGGAGATAGTCATCACATTTTTCATGGCCAAAAGCAGTTTAGAAGAGTATATGATATCTCACCATCTTCTCAATTAAAGGAATATAAACCTCAAAAGAAACCAAACTGAGCAAAATTGATGGGAAGAAGGGAGAGGATGGGACACTTCAGAGACACAAAGCTTTAGGAAGTTAGAACTGCTGAGTATGTGTATCTAACATTAGATACCTACATCCAGAGAGATGTTTCAAAAAGGTTAAGTGGGGTTTTTTAGAGATTCTAAGCATCTGTGGTTTCCACTGGCTGAATGAATTAAATATTTTTTCACAAATATGTTCAGAATTCACAGATGCATTCCCATCTAAGAGGATGTGAATGCCAGATATGTTAGTTTAAGACCCATTGTTTTCTAGAATATCAGAGGGAAAATCAACAAGGAACTAATACTTGTCCTACTCTCTATGACTGATCTGTCACATAGTGGGATGTACTAATCTGAAGCATATTTCAAAGCTCATAGGCATGTTTCTAAATCTTTTATAAGCTGATGTTTGCAGTTAGATTCTAACACTAGAGAAAGAATATGTTATTTTCTAAGGAAGGTATCTCTTTCCACAGACTTACAGTGTATTAGCAACTCATCTGGACTTTGGGGTCCAGATAGTATGCACAGATACCACAAGTGAAGTAAAACACAAATTTCTAAGTGACTCATTTGATTAGCCAGTCTTGTCTGTGTAATGCACAATTGTGATATTGATGTTACAAAGTGACAAAGTGACTTCCCACCAAACATAATCATGCTATTACTGTTTACTCTGACAGCAGCTTCTTTCCATCCAAGAGCTCAGCACATTTCACAACCATTAAGCCTCCCAATGAAATAGTTAAATGTCATTATCCCGTTTTCTAGATGAGGCATATAGAGATTAATGACTTGTTAGAGTCATACAGGAAATTTGTGACAGAGCAAGGAATAGATGGCAGCTCCTCCAGCTCTTATGCCTATTCTCTTTTTTACAAAATTACTCTTTCTGTCCTCAAATAAAAGGCACTTCTGGTTTTGGAGCAACACTCTTAATGAGTGAACTCAAAAGCTCAATTATTGAATCAGTAAAAGAAAAATGTGCTATTATTGGCATAGGATTGCTTTTAAGTAGAAACGGGTGAGAATGCAAGAATCCTAGATCTCGATTTGAAGGTGAGGAGGGGGAAGGGGGATCTCAGCAGTTTTATGTAGCACCAGAAACCTAATGTGACCAGCATAGAAGAAATGGCTGTTGATCTGGTCTTGAGTCATTATGGGGCTTTTTTATTTGGCTGTGACTGAATCTCAGTACTTCTGTTTAAACTGAGCAAAAGGCATTTTTCACTGTGTGGGTCACACATGATGTGCAGTTAAGTTTTTCACACCCAAAGAAATCACCCAAATTAAATCCACTAACTGTTTTGATACATAAACACACAATTAAATAATAAGATGTGAAATGCATCACAGAAATGCTTACACATAAAATATATCAGAGATTTTCTTTGGAAAGTTACTCTAGAAGTGAAATACTTTGGGATGTGTGGTTTAATATTTTTAAATTATTCTTGCTATTTTTTACTATAAGCTTTATACACTTAGGCATTCCCATCTGTAGTATAACATTGTCTATACAGGAGGTATTATGTTATCTGTATGTGTGTATATATATGTATATATACACAGATAGTATGACATGAATTCATGAAACTTTAAACTAATTTATATTGTATAGGAAAGGAAGGTGGAGGGTTTTTAGTACAGGAATAGACATAGGAAGGTTTATGTTCTGAGAGAAATATATATGAATCTTTGAAAATAATTATTGATGTATTTATTGTATGGATATTATCCTGCCTAGCTACTTAGTTTTAAATTAGAAGAGTCAATTAGGAGGAATTCCTGGCAGAAGTGAAAATAAAGTAGAATCCTGGAGATAATCAGGAGTCCTAATGAAACATAAAGAAAGCCATTAACTGGGGATCATGCTCAGCCTGACTCTGACCTGGGCTGATGAAGTTTCTTCTTTCAGTCAAGGTTAGGGTGGAAGATGATACTTATGAAATCTTAAAGATGCTGGCCTACGCAGAGAAAGGGGTTGAGTGAACTCTTCGGGGAGTGTCACTGAGTGCTGACAAGGACTGATGCATACCATGAGTGGCAGAAGACTTTCTATATGACCTTGGCCGAGTCATTTAATCCCTCTGTGACTTGGTTTCCTCATCTGCAGAATTAGGTACAAACAATAATACTTCCCTGCCTCACAAGAAGCTGTGGGGATTACTTCATTACTGTTTGCAAGGTGTGTTGAGAGACAAATAGAAAAAATGCAGTGGAAATGTTATGATTTGTTGCTGGAAACAAATATCAGATACCTTGTTGATCATGTCCTGGAAAATATATTATTAACAGGCTATTTCTTGGAAATCTGATCTTATTAGAAACCACATGAGCCCATCATACCTTCCCTCTTTCCTCTTTTCCTCCTCTTTTCCTTTATGCTCTTCTATTCAAGTAGTTGTGCAAATGTTATTAGACAAAATTAGACAACCTGTCTTCCTATCAAAAAAGTATGCTTCTTTCAAAGATGACTGCTTTTTAGCTTCTGTAAATGATGAACCTGTAACTCCTCAAATCTACAATCACATTCTCTTATCTAGGAACAACCTGTATAGATTGTTAAGTAACAAACTTCCTTTAGTTACAGTTTTGAAGAAGTGGATAGCAAGTGTTTAAAGTTGATTTTGAATTCCAAAGAAATATCCACTAGTAAGAGCATCTCCTTCTTTGCTTAAGAGATTGAAAGAAACTCTTATAAGCTGCAGCTCTATGCTTATTAATAACAGATCCATGCCTTGTTTGATCACACACCACTTTTCTTTTGGACTGCATATTTTGGTAGTGGAATCCCTCTACTATCATGTCTTCAATTCCACTGACCGATGTTTAGGTTTACTTAAATCTGAATTAGAGTCTGGTAAACCACTAACAAATGGTAGCCACATTGTATGAAGCATTGCATAAATTTGCAGCCACACCTAAGCACTCACCTTAAAAGCACATAGGGACAATAGTGTTTGTTAGCTTGCACAATGCATGAGATAAGGTGATGCAATGTTCATATGTCATTGCTGTTGCATGTGCTGCTCATGTAAGGGGTTTCTCCCGAGCAGCACACAAATGTAGGGCCACGATAAGCTATGCACAGTCTTGTTTGCCCTCACATCTACTGTGGCATAAAAGGTTTGGTAGAAGTAATCCATTTGATCACTCCCTTCCCACTCTTTTGTAGTCAAGTCAAACCTCTTTTTTGCTCACTAATTCTCATGTAAGGCTCTCACTGACATCATCTAACTAGGACTTTCAGGGTGTGAACCATTTTTGTTATTTATGGAGTATCAGACTTACACTAATGTTGGCAGGGTTTAAATCAGGCAGGAAAAGTACTAGCATGAGCAAAGACAAGAAATTAAAGACAAAAAGGAGTTGAATTTTTTTAATATGTGGAAAATGGTAACTTTCATCTTTTTTTCCCCTAGAAAAATGTGATTTTCTGAATTATCAGAAGTAATATTTATTGAGAATACATTTAATATATTTCCTTAAGAGTGCAAAATATACTATGTAAATTTTAGTTGGCTTTTACAATGTACTGTTTTAATGTAATATTATTTTTCCAAGGAGTAACACTATATTTACAGCTAGAGCTATTTTGAGCAATATGTAGTTCTACTGCATGGTATGTTGGTGCATTTTTAAGAAGGGAATCTATTTATTGAGCATAGGAAGCAAAATGTTTCTTTTATAATAAAAAATGTGGCAATATTTAAAGGCCTTGGAAACAGGATATAAATACTGACATGCTAGTATAAGGTAGAAGACACTGTTCTTGAAGGAAAAGTAAATAAATCCATCTCTTCATTTAATAATTTTGATACAATTCATATAGCTATTAAGAATCCTCACCACTAAATTTAGACTAGAATGTGTTTCAAAACAACTTCAGTTGAGTGCTTACGAGTTATACACAGAAAGTATGCTGCAGGATTGCAGCAATGATAACATCCTCTTATAGCACTAATACTGTACACTGAGGAAACCACTTTCATTTGGAGATGAAATGTGGGCTGTTACAGAAGTTTCTCATGTTGTCAATATAGATGTCAGGAGAGCAAATTTTATTTTTAACATTTATAGGGATTATTCATGGTCTTCCCTGTTTGAGTAAGAGGGAAACAAAAAAAAAGACTGGGAGAGTTTGGCAAGGCAGCTGGCACTTAAGAGGAGTAAAGGATGTTCAGAAATTATTGTTTTCTTTTTCAGAATTATGAAAGATAGTGTTTGGAAGAAATTAAGTTTCTCTCCCTACTCACTTTTATTGTTCCATAGAATCAGTTTGAACTACATAACAAAAGATGTCTATGGTTCTAAACTCAGCACTTCATACTGTAAGACCACTTGTTATGCACATTTTCTCTGAAACAATTTTGGAGTAGCTACCATTGTACCATTCACTGTCTCCAGCACACCTGATATATCCAAGCAAATAGTTTGTCGGTTCTCCTGCACAGTCCAAGACTCAGTGGTGTATTAACACAGCGTACCAGAAACAACAAATCAGTTTGATAAGGATACCAGACCCTGATGAAAATAACTCTCACATATTTTACCTTGTTATTCATGTATATCTGTTGACATTAGCTGAAGCTTTGTTATGCTTTCTAGCATTTCCAGTTGAAATGTAAACTGCTAGAACAAAAATAATCTTTGGCTCAGATGTTGCAGAGAGTAAGTGTAAAGCTGTTGAAGGTCATGAAGGAGGTTGGAGGTCCTAGTGTCTGTGAGGAAGAAGGAAGCGGGCTGCTTTGTCTGATCTGGTTTAAAAAACAAGTTTGAAATAGAAACAAAAGAGTTCTAGAAAAATCTAACAGAGTTTTCAGTCCTTTGTTCCAGAAGATAGTCTTTTGCTTAGGTGAGTAGCTGGCTTCCTCTTTGTCCATCATGTACTCTTTAAAATTTTAATGCACTTCCCAGTAGGCATCCCCTTCCTTTCAGTGTTCTGGACTCTGGCCTCTCTGCCATGTTCCCTGGCTTGTTCTAATGTGATTATTTTAAAGGAAGACTAACTCTATATGGGTTACCATAAAATCTGAGATCTTAAAAAAAAAAAAAAAGCTAATATTCCCACGAGAATCTGAGATCTTAAAAAAAAAAAAAAAGCTAATATTCCCACGAGAATTTGCATTCCAAGCAGCAGGGAAGTCCATGGGCGTACAGTAGTGTTGATCTGCACTGGCACAGTAGTTTGAGTACATAGCAAACTTTGTAATCATGGTTTCACTAGAGTCAGGAGTTCACCACTTGTTCAGTTGGTATTTAATTTATGATCTCAAAATTGTCCTTTCAAGTGTGGAGACCTGAAAAAGACTTTTTTTTTTTTTTTAATTGGCAATTCTGCAGTACAGGTAAATTAATACTGAATCAGTGTTCTATGTTTGATTCCATGGGAATACTGTTCCTTTGAAACAAACCGCAAACAGTACGTTGTGTAAGAGGGACGCAGGTTTACAACTCTCACACTGTAAACTAATGGTCTGAGTCCTTACTAGCTTATTTAATGTAGGATTTTATTAGCACTACAGCCAGCAGAAGTATATTGCTTGTCTTATCTATGCCTCTTTATAACCATATTACCGAGATTACAGCAATTCATTGCCTGACATTTATCTATCTGCCTGTCCAATCAAATATTCATAGAGTACTCACTGCTGCTCAGAGTAGCCTGGAGAAATAGTTCTAATCCCTCTCCTTACCTCTCAGTATCTCCTAGCTGGGAGTGAGGGAGGTCTTGCATACATGCATTTGTGAGATCCCATCTCTTTGGTTATGTGTTTCTAGTGTGAGCAGTTGACATTCCTTTACTGTGTAATTTATTTGGTGGTGTTACCAGTATGCTGTTGCATTTGTGGTGTGCAGCATGATTTTTCATTGCTATTTATAACATTGGTATTAATGGTAAGCTTGGTGGTATAGTAAGAAAAAAAGGATTATGATCTCTTCCCCAATGGATCACAGCAGATAGGAAACAGTGTATTTCATAATGGAACAATGTAAATAAAATGCTACTCGTTAATTAAAAGTGATTAACTGAAAGAGAATACAGTTAGTTAGATGCACTGAATCTTAAAAATGGATAATGTTCTTAAAATATATTTTAAGTGCACAAATATCAAGGAATTAAAGAAGGTTCTTGTGAACAGTCTTTTGTTCATGGATTTCCTGGTATCATAGAGTCACAGAATTCCCTGATTAAATAGGAATGTGTGTCATATTGTTAAGGTCTTTGAATGTGTCCTGAGAAGGGCAACAAAGCCAGTGAAAGGGCTGGAAGGAATGTCCTCTGAGGAAGAGCGAAGGACTTTGGGCTTGTCTAGTTTGGAAAAAAGGAGGCTGAGGGATGACCTCATTGCCCTCTGCAACTTCCTTAGGAGGGGAAGTGGAGAGGGAGGTGCTGATCTCTTCACCCTGGTATCCAGTGATAGGACTTGTGGGAATGGTTCAACGCTGTGCCAGGAAGGTTCAGGCGGGACATTGGGAAGCATTTCTTTATGAGGGTGGTCATGCACTGGAACAGAGAGGTGGTCAATGCCTCAAGCCTGTCAGTGTTTAAGAGGTATTTGGACAATGCCCTTAACAACATGCTTTGTCCCTTGCCTGAAGTGGTCAGGCAGTTGGACTAGATTGATGACTGTGGATCCCGTCCAACTGAAAATATTCTATTCTATTGTATATATCATCCAGCCTTTGGACTTCTCCCCATCTTCAGTAGAGACCTTATGGAAATGCTTCTGAAAAGAAAAAAAAAAAATAGGTTTGAATGCAGGTCAGATGCAATAACTTCATTTCCTTCCCACAAGGTACATAGGATGAAACAGCCTCATTAACTCTTTGCTCTGAGAAAATGCTTGGCAGTACTACAATGATTGGAATTTTCCATGTCTTTTCCAACTGTAAGAGAGGAGTAAAAAAGTGAAAAACCAGCAGCAGATTACTCGCAGGTAACAAACTAATGTAAATATTTTACTGGAATTTCTCAGGAAATATTAGTAAGGTGTTTTTTGTATAGCATAATTCTGTAGATTATAGTCAACATACTAGGTTAGGCTACCAGCCCTCAGAAGCCCTTCCTATGCCAGATGCCTAGATAAAGGTCAGAGGGGGCGTGACTCACCTGTGAGGAGTGTGTTGTCACCACCAACTCTGGGCAGGACAGTCCCACCTGCGGTGTCCCAATTTCCACGGCAGAGGCACAGTTGGCCCGGATTGGCCGCGCTGGTTCCCCGCCCTGCCACGGATTGGCCAAGCCTTCCGTCTCCTCTCTCTCATCTTCCTGGGCCACCTGCACTGCCCGGCTGCAGCTCCTCCACACTGACCACAGAGGGACCGGAGGATGCCCACGCATCAGCACTTGGTCGATAAGGTGTGTTGGTGGGGATGTGGTGGAGAGGGTGCACACCAGTTGGGGATACTTATTCTCAAAGGCTGAAGACTAAGTCTGTGGCTCATCAAGAGTGTCTAGGAGAAGAGAAGAGAAAATAATCATAAAGAGTATCATTAGAAAGGGGTATACAGGACTTAGTCTTAAACTGTTTGCAGGACTTGCCAGGACTGTGTTTTTCAAATTACAGAAAGGTATTTATTATATTCATTAAATGTTCTATATTTAAAAGCTTTTAAAACAATTTTTGTCTCTATTCAGAAGGTTGCCCAAGGCTCTGGAGGGGCAAACCACTGAAGTGTCTCTTCCTGAGTCCAGTAGACTTTGAATACAGTAGCTAAGTATCACTCAGGGACTTAATTGTTGGCCTGAAGTCGTGTTAGACTAAATATGGAAGAGGATTCTTAAGGTAGCAGCTCAGGTGGTGATGATGGCCATATAGATGAGGGCCACATAGACTCATAGGAAGAAAAGTTTGAACCTGTGATAAAAAATAATTAGAATTTTTCCATCAGATGAAGGAACTGGGGATACAGTTTATTTTTCATAATTATACCAAATTAGAAGCTTGAAAATAATATTCTTATGCTTCTATTTTATAAATATTCCCTATGCTTCTATTATATAAATATTTACTTTTTGTTTCTTTACATTTTTTCTTGGAGAAAAGGTAAATTTGTGGTGCAAGATAACATGATTACATTAAATATGTATTGGAACTCAGGGCTCATGGAAGTTATTTTGTCTCAAGTCTGGACTTGGAATTTTGTAAGACACTATATCTCTTCCTCATCTAAAACCTAGTTCCAAAAGATGGCATGATTAGACTCTTTGAATGCCTCTTGAACTGTTAAATCAGAGAGCTGATCCAAAGAGAAGGCATCTCAGCCATGTTTCAACTTGTTGTGCTTGTGTTTCTGGTTTTTTTCTAGCTAGAAAAAGAGGAAAGGAGGTTTCAGACTGGCTTTCTTTTGTGGCAGAGTGCAGCTGCAGCCAATTTTCCAATCCTAGCTGAACTAAGGACTTTGTGCTTTGAAATAGAACATCTAATTAGAAACAGATTTTTTTTTCCATCTCTCCATGAGTCAGACAAAGATTTCAACAACATATGGACAGGTTCATATTAAATCACTGTTTACCACATCTGTTGATATAATAGCACCTACATGCTGTATTTAAAACTTAATTAGAGGTGGGCCATGTCAAAATCGTCATGAGAGATTGGATAACCACACCCAGCATACTGATACCAAAACATAATGCTTACCAGGATCCCATTTAAGTGACACTTTGATGAGACTTTGGAGAGGAGCAGTCTTCATCTGCTTTAAAGACACGTTAACTTGCTTATATGGCTTTCCTGATTGCTGCACTGACTGGTTGTGACACCATGCAAACCTACCTCCTCCTCCTATAGGAAATTTTTCAACACTTCACAGTCACCTGTTTTATTACTTGCTGACTCAGTAGCTTTTTAAAATTTTGATTAAGTTCAGAGTTAAGTACATGGCTGTTTGGAATTGTGTATTTTTTCCCTGCTTCCAGATGTTTCTGTTACTTGTTTCACTAGCACATGCAAAACCAATGGTCTTACACGTTCATGCACAAATTAAGACACACAGATAGATGATACAAATATAACATATCTCTTAAATGGTGTTTGAAATGCTTTAAAAAATCTCAACTAAGTATCTCCATTCTTTCTGTTACTGTCTGTGTCACATAAGCCAGTCCTGTAGCAGACAGCATGTAAAATAGCATTACTAAATACTTCTTGTGATTTAATAACAGTTGTATCAGCATTTTTGTAGCTGGAACAGTGAGTTATTCATAAGATGAAATGGCCTGGCAAATTATGTGGTGCCATGGTTGAATGTTTAGACTTTGAACATGGGCCATAAAATCTGATATTAAACAACTGAGAATACTATTGGGAAATGTTTCCTTTTTTTCTTGGAAACGGTTTACAATCAGTATCAGTACTACAAGTGAATTATGAAGAAAATATGTCTTCTTTTCACAGACAGTCCTTGAAGACTGGACTTCAGTCCTGCCTCTTAGTTACATTTTGTGTATTTCTGTACTGAGTATAGTTTATTCTTTGCCCATAGGAAACATACACTAGCAATTTAGTATTTTTAAATTGTTTAGAAGTTCCAGAGGACTTTGCAGAAGTCTATTGTTAAGTCCTTCAAGAATCAAATATTTTGAAAAACTTCTCTGGGGCATTTGAATATATTTCTTGACCATATTTTGGAATTGGGAGTAGGGAAAGCAGTCAAAAGAGAGCATGCTAGTCATGGTTATATCTAGAGTTTGAGAGAGCAAGGATTGCATCTCAGTTGTTGAATAATCAAGGAGCTGAGCTAAATGTGCCAATGCAACAATGAGGAACTTTGTTTAAAGACTTCTCCAGTTCAAAGGTGTAATGCAGCAGACGTGGCTGTTAATGGATTGCTGTCATGTAACCAGAGAATTTAAAGTTCCATTAATAATTCAGTGCTTTAAAATGAAATTATTTATGCCTCTTATTGCATTGTTCTGCCAGTGTATAGAAGTATTTTACTTTAATGTATTCTCTTCAAAATATGTGAATGGAAAGAAAGTGCAGCTTTCTAGGCTTGTTCTGTTTCCTGTCCTGGAGAAAAGCCAATATTTCTCAAACATGACAACTACTAAAAATAAGTTACTATGAACTATATTGTCTTTTTGTTCTACAGATGAGGAGACCCTCCTGCTTTGTTTTTTTCTTCTGTGGGGTATTTTTGCCTGGAATCCTCAGTTTTCCACAGACAAACACCTCAATCGATTGTGATTCTCTGTTACCAAACTATGAAACTGAACCACAGACATCTGCACCACCATATATTATTGCTGTATCTTTTGATAACTTTGAGCCAGGAAATGAAATCCAAGGTAAATAACCTTAAAAACATAACATCTTTGTGTCTTCCAGAAATACCAGTCTTCATAAAAATTCCCCCATTTCCTTCTCAGTCTAGATAATTTACTTCTTTACTTCAATCTTGTTCATCTATACCTGATACGTTATTATTTTTTAGATGTTTTTATATACGTATGTATAACTCAAAATGTATTCTTTCTTTTTTCTTTTTTCCATCTAATAAATATATCTTAATTGTATGCTGTAATTTTTGTAACAAAATTAAAATTAAATGGGAGAGCTGGCCAAACTGGACTAATAATTAGTTGCTCATTAACCTTGTATTTAAGTATTTGCTGTTGAACCAGGCCTCTGCAATACAAAGGGATCCTACTCATTAGTTGTTCATATGCTGTCATCTTTCAGGAAAATAAAAATTCAGGACGCAGTATGAGACAACTCAAGAGTGAGACACTTTGAGTCATCCTTCTAAGAACTGTATCCCAGATTTTATCAAATTGCAGGGGGTGGAGCTATTGTGGTTTAAACCACCTTTTTATCTTCCTAATCCTAAATTGCTCTCTGGATGAGACACCTTAACAGCCTTGTTTCTCCACACTATGATGCCATCTCATGGTGCTGTCACACTTCAAGTGACTTGTGAATGCTTCTTTTCTGACCATTCATGCTACAAGGAGCATGGAAGTGGAAGAACGTTGTAACCTGTTACATGTCTGGTTTTGTATCTCAGTAGCTGAAAAAGAGCATTATTCACTAAGTAGCTAGTGGATGCTGTTTTACTTGAACCATGTAGCATGAATGTGGCTTCCATAGAGAGTGATATATAGGGGGAAAAGAACGGAGAAGCATCAGAGCCCTAATATAGCTGCCATTCTTGGAAAAACATGTGAATAGCTCCTTCAAGGATGGGAGGGCGGTTTGATTACAGATAGCTACTTTTAGAATAATATTGACAGAAAAATGGTGGATTGATTTAAGTACATGCAGACTGTTCTGTGAGGTTAAATGGAATTTACCATGACAAAAATATTGAATCCCAGATGCTACTAACCTTGCCTTTTTTCCCCCTCCTTTTTTATTTTTTTATTTTTACCACTACTTTTCTATTGTTTCAAATCGTGAGCACCCACTACCTGGTCTCAGGGAGCTGCATTAGGTTGCCCTTTCATTGAATATATTGCAGTTTGGCCTATGGCATTCCATGTGCCAGCACTCTTATAGTCTCATCTCTGCTTGATTTAGCACTGCATTCAAGTGCTGGATGTCATTGCTTCTGTGAGACCTGGAGAAAATTAGTGAATTAAGGCCGAAAGTTGACGACAAATTGGAAGGCTAATTATGCAGGTGTTTGGAAATGTTAAATTAGCAGGGTAGGATTGGTCCTTGCCTTGACTTCTGTGTCAATTCCAGTTCATCACTCTTTATTTTTAATGACTACACATAACCTTTGTGCATAAATCATTATTCTGATTTTATTTGCAAAAGTACCTAATAATGGAAGTAGCAGAGCAAAGTTTTAGTAGACCATAAAAAATTTGTTTATGCCTTTTGAAATTTAATTTCTATTTGGATATAAACAAAACAGAAGACCGCTCTTTCCCATATTTTCTGAGCTCCTTCAGTAACAGAAGTTGAAAAATTGGGTAGCTCATGTAATTATTGATTTTTTGTACTTAATATAGAACATGAAAACGAAACTGTCTAGTTTCTCTCTTTCCAGTTGTAACACATTTTAACAAAAATGTGTCTGCAATTCAGCCTTAGGAAAAAGTTAATCTTTTCTTTTAAAACTGAGATAGAAAGAAATGCATTTCTCTTTTTCCTGTAGATATTTTGACTTTGTAGGCCTAATTAGACAGAAAATAAATAATCTTTTGGTCGGCAGGGCCACTCATCACTTGGTAGAGCAGAATTCCTTTTAAAATTGTCAATAAATGAAAAATTTCATGCTACTTTACACAAAAGCCCCTCTCCAAATTTTTCCCTTTATAATCATTCTCCTTATAATTAAGAAAACCTTTTTAATTGGTTTTTAAAATTGTACACGTGTAGTCTTGTGCCTTGGAGTAAAGGAAATAAGATGTTACACATTTAGGAGGTTTTAGTAGCGTATAAAACTTAAATTTCTCAAAATGTCTCTTTTCACAGTGACTCTAGAAGCACTTGGAGAAGCTGGTTTTAAAGGATTTAATCTACAAGCTCGAGAAATAGATGGAGATACTCCTGTTGGTACTTTTAAAATTACAGATCCAAACACCAAAGGCTTGGAATGTCATAATATGACGGTATGTGTTCAGTCTTTGGAATACTTAATTAACCTTGGTTTTCTTTTAAATAATAGAAATAGTGAGTATTTTTTATATGGCAAAGCTACTTCATCAGAAGAGGTTAAAAAAATTAGACTTTTTCAAGAACTACATGCATCCTCTATATGTGATATGAATCTAATGTCGAAACTACTTGGCTTTTTTGGAGGACATCAGTGTTACCTTTTGTAGTAGAGACAGTTCCCTTAATAATATAGGCAAAATCACTTTTGCATCTTATATATCTATTTATTTTTAATTGCAGAATTCAGCAATAAGTCATGCAAATTCAGATGTGAAACAGAAAGTTACAACAACATGGATTGCTCCGCATGATGTTGGAGAGCTTCAATTTATGTAAATAACTGTTTTTCTTTTTTATTTATTTTTTCCCCCTGAAATTTTACTTCTATGGATTATTTTGAGATGTGTTTTTGTTTCTGATGTTGTCTTGCCACCATCATACTTTTTTTCATAGTTTGTCATAAATTCCCACTGTCTATTGAATGATATGATTTCCATTTCAAGATATAGTGTAAAAGGTAAACTGTCCTACAGATCTTCATATATGTAAATAATTCCATTAAGCACAGTGTTATTAGTAGATCTTTGAGTAACTGGTTTTTACACTTTGATCTCTTTAATACAACAGCAACAAAATGAATGTAACTAGTTCCCTGGATACATGAAGTTCAGGCTCTGTTCAATTACACCTTTTTTCATTTTGAACAGTGGAAGAATAGTAGATTGATGTAAATTCTTCTAAAATAAATTTGAAAATCAGTTTATGACCCATGAACTAACTGCTGAAACTCCTGAAACAGGAGAAGACAAATTTATCCTACTTTTAATGCTACTTTCCTTGGAGATCTGAAGCTTGTAAAAATACCACCTGGTCTAACAAAATACATCCTTGATGTAATAGGGAAATATCTAAATATTTGACAACTTGAATTGTTTGAAGTGCAAATTTATGATAGGGCCATCTTTGCCTTGCTTCATTATGTCCTGAGGAATACAAAGAATTGGCAAAAGAACACAAAAGCACAAATGCTTCCACTCATTAATGCCATGAAAATCAATTCACCATCATAGATATAGATTCCTATAGAATAGGAAAGAGTTGTGACAATTCTTATGGGTGTTTGAGCTGATACTCTTCACTGAGGTCAGTATTTCTTCAAACAGTGTCCTTTCCTCTTCTGCTTGTCTCAGCATATCTTTCATTTGTCTTCAAAATTATGTCAGGTGATAATAAAATATGCCACTGGAAAAGTGTTCTGTGAAACTTGTATTGTATACCCCTAAAACCAAAATACAGTTGATTTTCTTGGCTGAGGGAAGGAAGGAGGAGAGTATATTGGTATTTTATACTGAAATATTTTGATAGAAAAAGAATTATTATTTTGTTTTTTTTCTAGTGCAACCGTTGTTCAAAATCTAGAGAATTTTTGGGTTGGAATTCAAAGCAAAACTCTCACACCTACACATTCTGAGTCAGTTAATGGGACAGGAAAAAGTAAAAGGAAGGTATGTTTTGAGTGTATTTGCATACTAGAAATTAATACAGTAAATTAAAGTATCTTTGAATTGATACAAGACATATATTTGTTGTCATTTATTCATTAACTAAGGTGGCCAAAATCATTACATGTTTTCAATAATTTTAATCTGCCTAATCCTCTTACTAAAATGATGAAAAAATACAGCAAATATTATTTTTCTCCCACAGAAATAAGAAAGGTAATAATCTAGTTATCAAAACAACCCATACCATAAAAAAAAAGAAAAGAATATTGTTCATAAGGAGAACTGTACTGTACTTTTGGTGTACTGTGCTGTTCTTAACTCTTGCCCCAGTCCCTTGGAACTATAACTGTGCAGCATATTCTTAGAAACGAGTTTGCTAAATTTGTTTTACCAAGAATTATGCTTATATGAAACATATTAAACGTGATTGTCCACTTAAGTAAAGAAAGCCTGTTCAAATCTACCATATTGGTTCTTGACTGTAGCAGCACTGATTTATGAGCTTGTGATCTAGAAGAGTGAACACCTGTCTTTAGTCTCACCCTTCACCAAAAGTATTTCTTGTTTCCTATAATAAGCTGCACTTTTTTCTGCAATAAATAATTTGGTAATGCTTCCTCTTTTTTCTTTTTTTCGTCCACAGCTTATGATAGAAGTAGAATGTAACAAGGTAAGAGCAATTTCTTCTTCAATTTCCCAATTTTCAGTTACCTCAGTTTTAGAATTCTTGTCCTACTGCTCCACTTGTTTCATGTTTGCAGCATGAAGATTATATTGTAGCATTCAAATTACTTTCCTAGAGAGATCTCATTTATGCTTTCATTTTTGTATTCAGTTTTGAAGGTATTGTTATTTTTAACTAGTTAATAATAGTTCTCAGATGAGTTTGTTAAAGTGTGTAATATATTGTCAGCAATGAAACACTTGATTTCTTCACTCAGACCATGAATGTGAATTCAGTTGATTTCCTGTTTAAAGTAATTTGGTATTTATACACCACTCAATAACCAGTAACTGGAACCTGTATTTTCTTGCAGCGTGGAGGGACTTACACAACACAAGGCCGATGCATCATGGTAAATATTCTTTCTCCAAAGACATTGATAATGCTGCTAACTGCCCAAGATCTTAAGACCTGGTCAAAAACTGCTTCTTTATCACTTCTTTATCACTTCTTTATCTCTCGTTACTCAATTTAATTTCCTTTTTGGCAATTCACCTTTGTTGATTAAAATCCAAAACCTTTTAAGTCATTGTCAGCCATATCATTTCCTTCTGCAGGTTCTCTCTAGCTAATCCGAAGTAACTTTCTTACAGAATTTTTCTTTTTTCTGTCTTCACTTTTTATTCATAGTGGTTGCTTGCTGTTCAAGATCACTTATTCCAACAGCTCTAAAACCTTGCCTTTTGCAAATCATGATCTAGATATAAAATATAACAATTTAATTTTTTTCCTCGGAAAACTACCAGTTGCAGCTCAGTGAAGAAACCTCTTTTTCTTGTTTACTTTTTTACAGCAAATATGTTAGTGGTTACATAGTCATATCAGTAAAAGGCTTTAGTCTACTTGTGACAGTGTGGGTTTCCCTCCTCAGTGATGGGCAGAAGTGTATGAGGTCAGATAAAAAAGGATGCAAACAGCAGAATTATGTTACTTATAACAGCTGGCTGGGTATAGTTTTGATTATTTGGCTTGAAAGATCTCTAAAATGATTTTGATAGTATCAGTTAGTGGTGTGAAGTGTTAGGTAATTACTTTGTGGGTTTTTCCTTTTCCCACCAAGTAGAACTTTCTTTCCTGAAAATCACTTACATAAAATAATTTTCCTGCAAAATATTAAATACCATTTTGGTTTCTTTACAGGTTGGACCTTCAGGTTCCTCTCAGAGCAGCTATTCAGGCAGTCAGGTATGAGCCCTAAATTCCAGCATTTGTATATTTTCCTTTAGTAATCTTGAATGACTAAAATAGTGTAACTACAGAGTACTGAGGTGATTTAACACTGTACTGAAATATCTTCTCTGCTAGTTCACACAGAATTGCAGAGTTATTCATCCAGTAAACAGTATGTTCAGTACCTGGACTAAGTTCAATTACCTCCTCTCTGTTGAACTCAATAGCTTGCTATCAGTATTTTTACCTACAAGCTGCTTCACTACCTTTGATTTCACAGTTTAATCATTTTTGTCAAGCATTGACCTGACTCTTTTCAGGAAAAAAATATTTCTTCCATCTTCCTAGAGGTTTCCTACCTATGTGTGCATGTGTGCATACAAACACAGTCACAAACCATTTAGTTCATAGTTTTAGTGACATCTGGCATAATGAAAATGGAACTGTACCTATTAATTCATCAGGTATTTTTCCTTTTTTCCCTCTCTTTTTTAATAGTCAAAATGAAAGATTTAATTATACTTGTGTTTCACTGTCTTTTCCACAAGAATTTACAAAATTTCCCCAAACTTCCACAGATATTTATGCTTATATTAAAGCTCCAGTATAATGTCTATATTGCTTTTAACAATGGCTTATATTTGCAGTTGAAAATTTGGAGTCTAATCACTGTCTAGTTAGCCTTTTAAAACTTCTGGGGTATGTCTGCATTTTCACTTACCACTTTTACTTTATTCATCACAGAAATATATGCTTGATTTTTAATTAATTATCTTCACTACCATTAATTTGCCTATTTACCCTTTAACTCTTAGATGCTTTCTGATATGTCTCCAGCTTCTGAAGGATATATTTCTTACTACTTACTAGTAGTTATTAGTGAGTTTTCTAGTAATATTCCATTCCTTCAGTCTTTACTACTTGTAACTGGAATTGAGATATCGAGAAATACAAATTATTTTGATGTATATGCTAAAACTCAGTTTTCTGCAGTGTATATGTTTCATATATAATGCATATTCTTTTTTAAGAGCTGAGTTTCTCATCTTGGCACTAAGTACCTAAAGTTATTAATTTTTTATAAAATATGAACCACTTAGTAAAATTTTGAAAGGTTTCATGACCAATGACAGAGTCATATGGAAGTTATGTGAAATAAAGATGATGACTTAATGTCTCATACTAAATTAGAATTGTTACAGGCAGTTGCCAGTGAACTGGTAACCTCTGTACTTGCTTTACCCTTACTAGCACATACATATTGTCAGCTGCACACCTCTTCATGCCAAAACCAGCAGAGTTTGTTGCTTTTTTTCTGTCTTTCCCCCCCTTTTTTTACAGGGAAATAATTGGCTTCTGTTTTTATTTCAGGGTGGAGTAGTCTACACGATAAGCAGCAGTGGATGTGGCCCTGTAAGCACTATTCTTAAATTTACTCTTTTGGCCCCAGTATAACTATATTTATAGCAACTCGTAGCCTTCAATGGCATTGTTTAATATGACTGTTCATGTGGGAGTTTCTGTTGCAAACAGAAAATAATGAAGAGAGATCTCGAGGATGAATATTACAGTTTATTCAATGATATTAAGTAGTTGGAAAACAGAGAAGTTAAAAAGTTAAATAGAAACATGTAGATTATAGAATCATGAGAAAAAGGACTGGAAGGGGTTATCTGTGGCACTTACATTACACTCATTGTACAAGGTATCTATTCTTCCTTCTACTCAAGACAAGACTGGTGCAAGTCTGTCTGCATGTTCTAGGTAGTTCCTCCTCACAGAAGTGGTCACACAGATTTCTGCAAGAACTGAGGCTATTTCAGTTTCTCATTTTTCAGGCAGCAGGGATACTTGTGAAGTTATTAATCCTGAACAGGTTAAGCCAGTCATCCAGAAATAGGTGAAAGATGCAATAGTGTAATGTAATGAATGTGCTGCATAGATCAAATACTTACCTGAAGTGTTTTTATCAAAATGGTCACTAATTATACGGATTAAAATATATATATAATTCTTTTGTTTTCCTTTCAGCACTTTCAAGATAAGGTTTTAATTTTTTAATAAAAAATTTTTTTTAATCCAATCATTTCATCAAAATAAAAAGAAGAAAAATGAAAAGTAAATGAAACAGTGCAAAAATGTAAAACATTCATATCATCAGTACTTGCAAAATATAAAATTAATTCATCATAATGTGTATTGGGTTTTTGCAAAGAAAACAAAATTACAGGTTTTGGGTAGACTTGATTGTAATAATAGTAACAGCTGAGGTTTATGTAAAAAAGGAACTATTACTTTTTATGCTGAATGTTTACATTTTATAATTTATTGACTATCAGGAAGATGTTAGCTTTTTTTTTCTTTTGGGTTTCTGCTTCCTAATTTTTACATGTATGTACATATGACATACATAGTACGTTTGAATTATGAGCATTATATAAAACCTTTATAATTTCTTAAAATTCTGTCTCAACAGTACCTGTTTTAAAATGTTTCCCAAGTACCACTAGATAATCACTAATAGACAAAGGGCTCCTATGTTCACACATTCGTAGTGGAGACTACAATGCTCTCCTTATCATCTATTCTTTACATAAAGATCAGTCAGAATTGAGGGTGTCTGAAGTGTGACTTTCCTTCTGAAGCAGCTATAAATGAGAAATAACTGGTTTCTTTTTTTTCTTAGGGAGGTGCTGCTGGTACATATGGTCAACATGCCTGCAGAGACGTAAGCTGGTTATGGATGTTTTTACTGATTGTCTCTTACTATGCTTCTTAACTCATCTCCTTATTGCAAATTGCATTTGATTCTCTTCTGTATTATTCTTCCTAAATATATCAAGGAAAACAGTATTAGTCTGAGATATTATTCTGAGATTAAAAACCAAAATTAAAAGGTGTTACACTGTCAGTTCCTCAAAGGGTGATCATTTTTGTCATAAGGGCTACTCATCATCTATTACAAATGCTTAATTTGTTAGCCTACTAAAATGTCATTACTGTGTAATGCTTTTTATCAGAGTAATTGTCTTTGGATATTGCATACTGTGCAATACTATTTGGGTTTTTTTACAATCTTTATGTATTAATCCAGTAATTTTTAGTTAGTAGAGAAATTTCTATTGTCAATCTCATTTCTTTCATTTTCACTTGAAAACAGGTTTATTTTTAAATCTGATATGTTTTACATTTTTAAAATCACAAAAGCAAGTAAAAATATTTATCAGAAGGAGAACACACTCTCTAATGCTTGTCAGGAACTGAAACCCTAGCCAAGAAACTGCTTAATCATATGCTCAATTAAATACATCATTAGTTATATTAGTTCCTAAACTTTAAATATATTTTATCTTTAATACGTAAGTGTAAACTGCGTTTTTGATAGAGCAACAGTAAGCTTATGACCATGATAGAATTTGGGAAATTTTTACGTCAGTTATTTTTAAGCAAGTTCAGTATACTCTACTATTGCCCTAGATTTATTTCAAATATAGGTAAAATCAGCTTCATTTGAAGTGTACATCTAAGGATGACTTCTAGATATAGTTAACAAATTATGATATAAATAAATACCTGTTCTATGTTTTTATTTCAGAGTGCATCTTCATCCGGCATTTCCTATGGCCAGGTAACTACATGTTTTCCAACATGTTTTCAGTTTTCTAAGGTATTCAGGGCTAAGCAGTTTTGCCCAACTTTTACCAAACAATAATTAAACTTATGCAAGGGGATAAATATGAACTGCCTTCAAATGGTTCAGTAACAATAACTTCAGCAGATGAGTTACATGTTTGATGCATGTTGTTATATCCACTTTGTTAGAAGTTATTTAGTCCTGTTTTGCACTGAAACTCAATTGTATTTACTCTGAAAACGGACACCAGTTACTTTTGTTATGATTTTCCAGAAGTCAGTGACTTTCTTTGATAGTTACTAAGAATTAAAACTATTTTTTCTGGCTTTTGCCTATGCAATTGTACATACTGGTTAATGAAATGGATAACTTCACTGCACATTATTTTATGCTTCATTTAAAACATTTATCTTCTGGTGGCATATCTCATTTTTCCCAGATGCTGTTGTAATTGTTGGTTTTTTAATTTTGAGGGGATGGGTTCTGGAGTTTGAGTTGTTTTCCTTTTTGGTGAAGGTAGAAGAGCTTAATTTTTTTTTCTAGCAATAGATTATTTTTACTATAAACCAACTTCCAATTTGATGTTAAATGAAACATTTGCAGCTTTTATACAGTGCTCTGTGAAAATAACAAAATAATTCAGTGTTTAGAAAAAAAATCAAGCTAGTTAATTTATTTCAGTTGTTCGTTTAGTAATTGCCAATACATTTATATTTTTCTTCAGAATCTTATTTTGTTTGGTACTTCAGGGGAATCATGTTAGCAAAACATTCTTGTGAAATATAGTGCTGTAGTTAATGTGCCATACATTTACCTAAGCAAATATGGATTCTGTATTCTTTACAGTCTGTCCCTTCGAGTAGCTCTGATTCCAGTAAGAAGGTAAGCTCTCCTTTTCAAAGGGAAAAACTCTTACAATCATAACTTGGTGTGACTCCTTTTGCTTCAGTTAGGATTTTTCAAGGTTTTAACCCAGACTGATTCATATGATTTGATTTGTTTTGGTACTTAGAAACCTTATACTAACTAGCTGTGCTGTGGTGGTTCTTGCTGATAGCTGACTCAATTGTATATAAAGTACATGTTTCTTTTTAAAAAGTTAGGATAGTAATTGTGATGTAATTAGGATTTTAAGTATATAAATTATGTAGTTATTATTCATATGGGGGTTGAGAGTAAGTGTAGATCAGAAATAGTGAAATCAATAGAATTCATTTTATTGTTGAATTTGACTCATAATTATATTTAAATGGACTCTTCCTCCCAGTTTAGTCCCCAGGAAGCTCAGTGCTAATACTATGGTGTGTTCAGTAAACACAAAGTGTATCAATTCATACCCTCATAGATGTTTTTATTCATTTTAATTTACCATTGTTTTAAGAATTTAAAACATACTGCTCAATTATTTTTTAATACTTCTTCCTGTTCTGTACTAGAATTCTTTACTTCTGAGAGCACCAACTCTCCTTTTCCTTTTCACACCACTGGGTAATAGAAAGTGCTTTCGGTTTGAAAAAAAAAAAAAAAGGTGGGGAGAGCTTTAGTGAGAAAACATTAACACCTCATTGTGTCTGCATTTGGCTTCATTTTTCTTTTTAATAAACTCAATATGAAGTCTCTTTTTTAGCATAATATTGAATAACAATAAATTAATCTAGTTTGGAGTGGAAAGTTGAAGATTAAAAAGACACACAGTACAGGCCAATGGATATGGTACAATACATGAAATCCTTCTTCTGCTTCTACAGCTGAGTCATTGTGTGGTTGGGTGCAAGTCTTTTATTTCCTTACACTCTTATGTAAACCATGTGTATATATATATTCTTCTTTGCTTGGTAATGTGTTTTAAATTTTTTTATAAAAGTGATCATCCATAGCATTATTATCAGAGTTTGTAAATATAGAGATTTCAGTATTCTTCATTTTTCTAACATATTTAACAATAGACACTATGATGAGTAAACAGCTTCCTCTGACTTCTCTATAGGTAGTGGTCGTTGCCAACAGCAACCCTTTTCCACCTGTGGTAAGCAGTTTTTCTTTACAATACTGAGAATTCTGACTCAAAAAGCTTTCAAATATCTACATTTAATTTTTCAGAAAGAGTCCTGGTGTATGGAGACAATTCTCTGGCAGGCAGAGTTTACCCTAAGTGCATAATTATCTTTAGGGAAAACCAGTTATAAGATAGGTCCAAATCTTGTGGTTCTGTGATTGCTGTTAGTGCTTGCAGAGGGACTGGATTAGCTGCAGATTCCAGGTCTCTCAACACATTCAGTCTCTGTGTTCCTGAACAGTTTTTGTTTCTATTGCAATTTTCTTTTGTAAATTCACTTCCATTCTCATTTTTACACTCTTAAATTTCCACTCTGCTTATTTGGAACTCATACAGTCAGTTAAAACTAAGTTTAGCTTTTAGGAGTTTAAAATGAGTTTGTATGATGTAATACTTATCAGTGTTAAATTTGTAATAGCACATGTTGTTCTAACCTGAATGAAGATTAAGATGCATTTGTTCTATGCTATCCTTTTTATATCATTCTTTGACATTTGCTTGTGTATTGCATCCAAAAGATAAGGGCCCTTTTTCCCTTTCTCTGCTGCAATGTTCTGTTTGGAAAAGCCCTCATGCAAAATAAGTAAAAATTGTTTTGTTTCATTTGCAGCGTCATACCTTCCCCCAGGTAAGCATACTTTTTTCCTATTATTTCCTATTATTTCTTTATTAGTATTATAGTTCTTATGGAATCAAGCCAGTTTCTCAGGTTGGTGTGTGTGTTACGCTTCTGCATTTGTCCCTCGTGCCCCAGAATTCAGCAAACAAATGGCTGGATCAGGAACTGGATTTGCACATGTGGTGATGTGTGTCCAATGCAGGTGACAGCGAGAGAGCTGCAGTGATGATGGTGTCTTAGCTTCACTCAGCATATTTGGTAGAGCCAAGCTGACTGCTAGTGCAGAGAGGGCATAGCCTGTGCTCTGCTGCTCCCCACATAAGTTGTAACAGAAGCAGATGTAAGTGTAGAAAATTATTTAGTAGGGTCAGTCTGCCTCCCCAGACTTTCAGAACTGAGAATAAACTAGTTTAATGCTGGGTGTTAAGAATTGATACTCAGTACATCACACATATGACCTTTCCCTTTATTTTCACAAACTAAATGGTATATATAAACTTGGTATTTTCTGTTCAAGTGCATTGCATTTAAACAAGGCAATTAAATTTACTGTATTATGTCTTTTTTGTTTCTGGACTTCATTTTCAGAGTTTGGGAAGTTCTGCTACAAGGATCATAGTGCAGGTAGACATTCTTTCTCCATTACACTTAAGTTTTAAATGAAGCTTTGTCTCAGTAAACTAAGTAATTATTCCCCTCTTAGAGAACAAGTAAGTGTGGATGATTTAGATATAACTTCAGTGGTGGAGTAGGGTGTTTTTGTGACTACAGCAAAGTTGATATCTTACTAGTTTGCTGATTAAAGACCATTGCAACTGGGTTTTTTCTGGGTCCTTTGCAATCTTAACTTGCATACAACTCTTAATGGTTTAGGCTTCCCTTCCTTCGTATGCCAGTCTGTTAGACTACAGCAAATTCTCACTTTCACTGAAAGATCAGTAGCAGGTTATCCCAGATGACATTTGTCTTTTGAAAATCATTCCTTTCAAAATGTATAGCATTATGTTCTTTCATGAGTAGTGATGAATGCTGGCAGAGAAAGGAATAACATTTCCTTTTTATTTTATTTCTGAATTTAAATGTACAGTGTTTTGATTACACAGGTTAAGAGTTTTCAATATGTAGATATAAATTATATTTGATTCCACTCATAATCCACATACTTCATGGGAATCAAAATATTTTCTACAGTGACTTTTCCTTTGGCTTAATTGTAACCATGGCTTTTTCAATTCATGTTTTGACAAAGCCTTTGTCAGAAGTTTGTTGTGCTTAGTCATGAAAATTCAGTCATAATATGAATACAAATGGATATGATTTTAATGGTTTGTGTGGTACCACTGAAGAGCAGAATGATTTAAACTCGCTTGAAATACCTCAATATGACACAATGATGTGTTATACAATGAATTTTCTTTAAGAATATGATATTGAAGTGTATAAATACTTTTAGCACTTTATTTGTGAAGGATCTTTATATACATTTTGTATCACACAGAGATGGCATGGTGTAAGAAAAGGTCTAATGAACTCTTGATGACTTTCAAACTATCTAGTAGATAAAAGGATGGAGTTGCTTCTTGAAATGTCTTAGTACATAATTTCTCTTAAAAATAACTAACTTTTTTTTCCCATGTAGAGTGGACAAAGACAGCAAAGCAGCAGCAGCACTTATATCACGGTAAATGAACTTAAAGGGGGCTACAAATATTCCTCTAGACTTCACTGAAACAGGGCCAGCACAACTCAGAAATAAATTATTTTGTGCATTTTAAAATTTATTTCACAGGGTACAGATATTTCTATCTCTCTGACTTTTGTTCATAAAATTATCATCTGGTATTGGTGTTCAACTAATTTGTTCAGAATGCTCACAAATGTATTTTCCCATGTGATAGGTTGAATTGAAATGACTGTGTTCCACTCAGTGTGTTCTCTGAAAGGAGCAAAAAGAAAGGAAAAGTGATTCTAGGCTCATTGCCACACCATCAACCCCATACTGGTAGATTCGGATCCTAAGTATATTAATCCTAAAATTCCAAAAGACATAAAGGGTAGTTGCTTATCAAGAATGGTGAAGAATCATAATTGTGGACCGATGTGCAGTGTTTTTCAGCTTTACTTAAAGCCATGAAGATAAAGCTACTTATGTGAAAAACAATTGTGTGGATTCAACAGATACTAACATAATGCCATCATAAATTGCTGAAAACTAAAATTTGAGACTATTATAGTATGAACTCAAGTATTAAGGCTCTTCAAGACTTCCTCTTCGTGTGGAGCTGGGGGTGGGAGGGAGGCAAATGCCTGTAGCACTACGTGCAATCATAAAAACCTTTCACAAGGTTAGGCATGACTTGTAAGGATCAGTTCAACAGGGAGGTCAGTACTCAACAACAAAAATGCTCAAGGTTGACAGTTTAAACCTCAGTTTGTCATGGCTTTTGCTGAGATGA